TTAAGACCATCACTATTTTATTGTTCAAGATCTGCAACTTGGCTGGCTCAATTCTGCTGGGTCACTCATGCAGCTGGTGACTCAACTGGGCCTGTGTGGTCCAAAGGGCCTCCCTCAAATCTGACACTTAGCTGGGGCTTCTGGCCCGGGTGCCACGTCCTCCTTCATGTGGCCTCCAGCAGAAGAGCCAAGGTTTTCATGGCCGCAAATACTCTCCAAGAGGGCGAGCCCCAGTGCACCAGAGCTCACCAAGCCACTGCTTGCATCACGTCACTCTTGTTCCACTGGCCAAAGCAGGTCACATGGCCGAGGTCAGAGCTGCTATGGGAGAGGCCTATACAAGGACATGGATTCCAAGAGGCACGATTCATGGGGGCCGTGATTGTAACAGTCCACTGGCTGCCACAGAAATAAGTGGGCCAGGATTCCCCTGAGGGCCTTCCCAGACCTGGTGTCTGGTATTCTGAGCTTCCTGGGACTTGTTATTCTAGAAAGGAAGTTCTCGAAGACTGATTCAGGGTGTGGTGTGGGGGGGGTGGGTGGCAAAAGGACCCAGGAGCCAGTTCAAAGGGGCTCCCACTGGGAAAATTTGTGACCATTTGAACATCAGAAAACTGGTTGTAACTGATTGTAAATATCAAATAAATAACCCACGAGTCCATAGTGGTATTCAAAACAGAAGAGGTAAAACTCTTTGCGGAATGCTATTCAGCAACAGAGAAATAAAATACTGATACATGCCATAAAAGGGATGAATCTCAAAAACATTATTCTATGTAAAGAAGCCAAGCACAAAAGATCACATGTTGTGTGACTCCATTTACAGGAAATGTCTGGAAAAGGCAAGTCATGAGAGAAAGTAAATTGGTGGCGGCCTGGGGGCTGGGGGATTCACTGCAGTTGAGCATAAGGGGTCTTTTGGGGTGATGGAAATACTCTAAAACAGGGGTCCCCAACCCTTGGGCGATGGACCGGTAGCGGTCCGTGGCCTGTTAGGAACCGGGCTGCACAGTGGGAGGTGAGCGGCGGGCGAGTGAAGCTTCATCTGTATTTACAGCTGCTCCCCGTCGCTCGCAGTACCGCCTGAGCTCCATCGCCTGTCAGATCAGTGGCAGAATTAGATTCTCATAGGAGCACGAACCCTACTGTGAACTGCGCATGCAAGGGATCTATGTTGCGCGCTCCTTATGGGAATCTAATGCCTGATGATCTGAGGTGGAGTTGAGGCGGTGATGCTAGCGCTGGGAAGCGGCTGCAAATACAGATGAGCAGAGAGGTTTCACTGCACAGAGACTGTAATAAATCAGTTGCTTGCAGACCCATATCAAAACCCTATCAGTGGGCTTCCCTGGTGGCACAGTGGTTGAGAATCCGCCTGCCAATGCAGGGGACACGGGTTCGAGCCCTGGTCCGGGAAGATCCCACATGCCGCGGAGCAACTAAGCCCATGCGCCACAACTACTGAGCCTGTGCTCTAGAGCCCACGAGCCACAACTACTGAAGCCCGCGCGCCTAGATCCCGTGCTCCGCAACAAGAGAAGCCACCGCAATGAGAAGCCCACGCACCGCGACGAAGAGTAGCCCCTGCTCGCTGCAACTAGAGAAACTTCTATACATTTAAAATTTTCAAAAGCACAGAAAAATTTTAAAACGTACAGTGGTCCCTGCTTATCCAGTTTTGCTTTCTGAGACTGCACTTACCCTCAGTCAACCATGGTCTGAAAATATTACATGGAAAATTCCAGAAATAAACAATTCATAAATTTTAAATTGCGCACCGTTCTGAGTAGCATGATGAAACCTCGTGCCATCTCGAGCCATCCTGCTCTGTCCCCTGGGATGTGAATCATCCCTCTGTCCGGCGTACCCATGCTGTATACACTACCTGCCCTTTAGTCACTTAATAGCCATCTGGGTTATCAGAATGACTATGTGTGAGCAATCCTTATTCTACTAAATGGTCACCCAGCACAAGAGTAGCGATGCTGGCAATCCAGATACGACAAAGAGAAGCCGTCAGGTGCTTCCTTTAAGTGAAAGTTTTCAACTTAGTTAGGAAAGGAAAAGAATCATGTACTGCGGTTGCTGAGATCTACAGTAAGAACAAATCTTTTATCCATGAAATTACGAAGGAAAAAGAAATCTGTGCTAGTTTCGCTGTTGCACCTCAAGCTGCAGAAGTTACAGCCAGTGTGTGACGTGATTAGTTGAGATGGAAAAGGCATTAAATTTGTACGATATTTTGAGACAGACCATATTCACGTAACTATTATTACAGTATATTGTTATAATTGTTCCATTATTCTTGTCATTAATCTCTTACTGTGCCTGATTTATAGAAATTAAACTTTAGGAATTCCCTGGCGGACCAGTGGTTAGGACTCCGTGCTTTCACTGCCGAGGGTGTGGGTTCAGTCCCTGGTTGGGGGAACCAAGATCCCACAAGCCATGCAGCGTGGCCAAAAAATAAATAAATAAACTTTATCATAGGTATGTATATATAGGAAAAAACGTAGAATATATAGGGTTCAGTACTATCCATGGTTTCAGGCCTCCACTGGGGGTTTTGGAATGTATCCCCCGCCCATAGAGGAGATTACTACACCTTTCAAACAAACTTTGTGATGTCTGACCGCCCATGAAAACTTCTGAACACCTGGTAAGCTCAGATCTGCTGCATCCCTGCTCCAGCCCTCCCCGCTGGCTCTCACCCACTCAGCCATTTAGTGACTGAGAGGCTGAGTCTGCACCCCTGCCGGGCCCCCTGCCTGTATCTTAAGAATTGTGGACATCCTTACCTAGATGCTGCCGGGGCAGGATCCACTCCCAGGCTGCCCCACCCACATCTATGCCCTTAAGCGCTGCAGTGGCACCCTCCCCACCTTCACCCAAGGGACACGTGGCCCTGGCAGGCTGCCGAGCGGCTCATAGCTCCCACCAGGCTGCCTTCCACCTTTGCCCTCCTGGAGCCTCCCCCAAACTGCACCCCAAAGAGCAGGTCCCCAGGAAGCAACAGCCACACGTGCACGGCAGTGTGGAAGGAAATCATTAAATCATTTATTTGACTCTCAGTCAATATGCACACGCCCTACCGTACAAAAGTGGGAAGCTGCAACAAATCAAGTGCCAGAGGCAGTGCATGGACGTGTAAACAAAGACAAAATGAAAATGCCACTTCTGTGTGCATTTCTGGGAGCAAATCAGAGTAGCCGGGGGCCCAGGCCCAAGATTACATTCACAGCGCGGGGAAGTGCAAATGAACGGAATGTCAGGATGGAGGGGCTGCCCAGGTCCTTCCCACCCAGGAGGCTGCTCCGTCCAGGGCAGCGACTCCAGAGAGGTGGGTTTGGAGCCAGAAGCACAGTTAGTGTACAGCGGTCCTACAGTCTGGGGGGCAGGAGGGACCACGTGGGGGAGGGACTGGGCTCAGAGATAGTGGGCCCTCTCCCATCCCCCCTCCTTCCCGCCCCCAAGGGCCAGACCACCTCCCGCCCCGGACCCCTTTGCCATTCAGGGGAGGGTGCCCCCCCCCACCCCACCGTCTGAGCCAGTCCCAACTCCAGAGTGTGGAGAACCAGGAGTCTGTTTCTCTTGTAGGCCTCTCCACCTGGAAAGGGGCAGATCTCAAAATAAAATGTTAAGGCAATAAATAAAACAGCCCATCCCACCTCAGGTGAAAACACTGTAAGAGAAGTGAGTCTATGCCGGCCGGCA